CGCCGCCACCACCTTCACCCCCACCCCAATCCCCACCACCACCCGCACCGCCATCCCCACTGCCACCTTCCGCAGGTATGTATGAATGCGAGAAACGTACCTTTTGATAACAGGTACGGTGACAGACCTGCTAATAACAGGTACGGTGACAGACCTGCTAATAACAGGTACGGTGACAGACCTGCTAATAACAGGTACGGTGACAGACCTGCTAATAACAGGTACGGTGACAGACCTGCTAATAACAGGTACGGTGACAGACCTGCTAATAACAGGTACGGTGACAGACCTGCTAATAACAGGTACGGTGACAGACCTGCTAATAACAGGTACGGTGACAGACCTGCTAATAACAGGTACGGTGACAGACCTGCTAATAACAGGTACGGTGACAGACCTGCTAATAACAGGTACGGTGACAGACCTGCTAATAACAGGTACGGTGACAGACCTGCACCTGACATTATCTGTATGTATGCATGAGAGCAATGGATCTTCAAGGGAAAGGTATGTACAGGAGGTGCACACAGCTTGGTTCGTGGCGGTTCTTAAGAATTAAAGGGTATCGTGCATGCATGAGAGCAATGCATGTGCCAGGGATAGGTATGGGTGGGTGCACACAACATGGTTCTTGGCAGTTCTTAGGAACCTAATGGGTATGTGTGTGTGCAAGAGGGCAAGAGGGCAAGAGGGCAAGAGGGCAAGAGGGCAAGAGGGCAAGAGGGCAAGAGGGCACGAGGGCAAGAGGGCAAGAGGGCAAGAGGGCAAGAGGACAAGAGGGCACGAGGGCAAGAGGGCAAGAGGGCAAGAGGACAATCGAACTGTGCCCATATTGCTGCCCGCACAATGCCGCCCGCACAATGCAGCCTGCACAATGCCGCCCACACAATGCCGCCTGCACAATGCTGCCCGCGCAATGCCACCTGCAAACCGTCGCCCGCACACTACCACCACCATCCAGGGCACTTAGGAAAATTTTGGAAGAGCATGTGACATGCTAGGGCTTGTTACGTATGGGTCCAACCCTCCAATGGGTAAGAAATCGGCTGCACAATCGAAGCTGCGGATGTATACATATTATATACAGTGTTGTTCACCCAAGAACAAACAGAACAAAAGAAATGGATTGTAACCCTCCAATAGGGTTAGGTGTGGGTGCAGCCCTTTACATCACCCAAGATATGTATCATGCATGATATGATGCCTATCTTGGGTGAAGGTAGCCCTATCTTGGGTGAAGGTAGCCCTATCTTGTGCACTGACCCTCTCTCGTGCAATCTGGTTCATTTCTTTGAGAGTCTGGATCTCAAGACCTTTTTCTTTGAGAGATTTCAAGAACCAACAATTTTTGCAAGCAGCTGACACCTTGTTCACCAGAGTCTCGCTGTTCACCTCTGCTTTTGAGTCGACTCGAAAGCAGAGTTTCTCTGTTCACCTCTGTTCGCGGCTCATCATGCATGTTACTGTTCACCGTGTTTCACTGTTCACCGTGTTTCACTGTTCACCATGTTTTGCTGCTCATCTAGTTTCATGGTTCAATTTGTTTTGTTGCTCTCATGACTTCCCTGTTTTGCTGGTTGTTTCCATGTTTCGCTGATTGCTCATTTCATTTCCCCCTCCCCTTACTCATGCCTTAATGATTTCTCCTTCCTCATGTTTCCATGCATTATCCTCTGAATCATCTTTCCTCACAGACCTACCATTTCCTCTTCACTTCATCCCACCCAATCCCTGTCTTTTGTCTCTCTTCCCTATCCCCCTAATCCCATCTGTTTCACCTCAACAGCACAAGAGCCCGCTCTAGCACCTCTTCCGCCTCCTCCTCCCTCTCCCCCACCCTCGCCTCCTCCCTCTCCCCCTCCCTCATCTCCTCCCTCTCCCCCTCCCTCACCTCCGTTACCCCCTCCCGCACCCCCTCCTCCCAACCCTCCGCCCCCTCCCCGGCCCCCAAGCCTCATCTCCCGCCGCTCACCAGCTCCTCCTCCCAGACCTCGTAAGTTCCCAGACCTCGTACCCAGACCTCGTACCCAGACCTCGTAAGTTCCCAGACCTCGTACGTAAGTTGCTCATTCCAGGTTGTACCTCAGAGTCAGAAAGATGGTTTGTCAGGTAATTCCATGTATATTTTCTGTGCATCGTCAAGATTCAGTAAATATCCTTTGAATCGTATGACTTTGACGCAGGAATATATGTATATATATAGATATACATACATATCTACATACATATATGTATCTATATGTATATATATTCTGGTGGCGCTAATGATGTAATCGTTGTGGTGTAAATTTTGTTTTCTTTTGTCTAAAGTTGCTGTTTCCATTCCCTCTGTTCCATTTTCCCCTCCTCCACAGCACTCCCACCACCACCATCCCCACCATCACCGTCACCACCCCCACCATCCCCACCATCACTATCACCACCCCCACCGTCCCCACCACCACCATCACCACCCCCACCATCCCCACCATCACCATCCCCACCAACACCGGACACCTCACCTCCTCCTATTGCTTCAAGCCCCGCTGCTTCACCACCAATAGCAGCAGCAACACCAACAGCACCAGCACCAGCAGTAGCAACACCAACACCAACACCAACAGCAGCAGCACCACCAGCAGCCAGTGCTTAAGGCTGAGGCAACCCCAGCAGAGTCACCATCCTAAACCCGAAACCTCCAACTCAAACCCCCCTAAGCCCTAACCCGTAACTAAACCTTACATCTTATACCTTATATCCCCAATTCCTAAACCCTGGAACCTGAAGTCCGAAACTCTTGAATCCTTATTTCTAAACCCTCGAACCCTAATTCCTACACCCTTGAGCACTAATTTTTAAACCTTCGAACCTTAACTCCCTAACCCTTGAGGCCTCATCGCTAAACCTTGAGCTTTACTGGCAATCCCAGCACAACCACCATCATCATCAGCATTACCATCACCATCACACCATCGCCATCAACACTAGCAGCATCACATGCAACAGCACCACCATGACCGCTGCCATCAGCTTTTAAGGCCAACACTAGCAGCCCTCAGGATACTACAATGTATCCCTGTGGTCTAAATATATACACGACACAATTTTAAAATTTTAAACTATTGTGTAATAATGTAGAAAAGTTGCAGGGAGGCCACAGGATCTCTGACAGAGGGAAAACAAGGCCTGTCGAGGACAGGAAAGGTACTTCTAAAAACTATGGATTGATTCGCATACAAGATGTGTATTGTACTAGTGCATTATTGCCCTTCGTGATAGTTTCGGTAATGATTTTCACGGCTACTGGTAGTGAAATACAGTTTTAATGATAGCAACGCAGTACAGCCAAAACAGGGTATTTGAGATACCGGCAGGCCCTCAGATTCACTTTAAGGGACGTTGATGCATCAGGGTCCCTGTGAACAAAACCCTGATTTTCAGTGTTCCTAAAAAAAAAACCCTGAATTTTCAGGGTTCCTAAAAAACAAAGCCTGAATTTTCAAGCAAATGAAAACCTTGTATACAAGGGTAGGCTTTACGAAACATGACAGCGGAGGGATTCGAACCGAGCCCTTACCCGTCTGTAGAAAATCACAAACCACTGAGACAGTTGATCCACTAAACCTTCAATCTCTTACGTTGTCGTACGTGAAAAATCAGAAAATGTTGGTTGACAGGAAGGATTCGGAATGTGCATTCAGTGTACACTTCGATAAAAGACTGAAAAATCAGTGTCAACTATGAAATAAAGGCTGAAAAATCAGTGTCACAAAATTCTCAACACTGAAAAATCAGTGTAGGTACAAAAAAATCCCTGAAAATCAGGAATTTCAGGAAAAAATTCCTGATATCGTAGGGCCTGGATACCGGTACGAGAACATGACATGGATGAGGGAAGGTACGGTAGTGAAAGCATCACTGAAATTACCGCGCATTATCTCCCAAGCGTAACAAGACGAGTGCCACTGAAGCACCCACAAGATTAGGCAGCCATCCACCCAGCAGCGGACTGATCACGTGCAGCTGCAAGGAGAATCAAGCACAGCACAAAGAGTAGAGAAGAATGCAATTGTTGAAAGGCTTGGTCTAACTACTCTGCATTATCTCCCAAGCGGAACAAGACTAGCGCCAGTGATGCACCCACGAGATTTGGCAGCCATCCACCCAGCAGTGGACTGATCACGTGCAGCTGGACAGAGAGACAAGTGCGGCAAGAAGAGTGGAATAAAAAAAATAAAAAAAAATGGGGCCAACTAAGAAACAAACACCCAGCGGCGGACTGACTGGTCGTGCGAAGCTGTACTGAGAGTCAAGTGGGACGAAGAGTGGGAAACACTTTTTTTATTCGCCTAAAATTAGGCACCCAGCAGAGGAGTGCCTGACTGATCCCGTGCAGCTGAAAGGAGAGTCGAGTGCAGCAGAAAGAGTGGAAAATAGATTCTGGTGCGCCTAAGGATTAAACACCCAGCAGCAGACTGATCACGTGCAGCTGAATGGAGAGTCCAGGGAAGCACAAAGAGTAGAAAACAACTCTTAGGGTGACTAAGAAACAAACACCCAGCAGCGGACAGAGTGATCACGTGCAGCTGGACAGAGAGTCAATGGCAGCATGAAGAGTGGAAAAAAAAAATGAGTTGATTTTAAAAATAAACGCCCAGCAGCACACTGACTTATGCTGCCGAAAGGAGAGTCCAGAACAGCAGGCAACAATACAGCTTCCATTCCTTATTTTTTTACCAAGAAAACAACACCTCAATCACACAAGACAGTAAAAAATTGAATGCAAGAGCGAGTAGTGGATGAAGAAGGAAGTGGAAGAGGGAAAAACAAAGATCAGCATACCTAGAAGTGGAAGAAGAGACGAAGGGTTAAATTAGAGAAGTTTAAGAAAATATAGTGTACCTGGGAAAGAAGGATGTCGGTGACAACGAGAGAATAGTATATTTTTAGGCGCCTCAAAAGTAGGTGCCTCAAAACTAGGTGCCTCAAAAGTAGGCGCCTCAAAACTAAATCTACTGTACCTGGGCAAGAAGGACGCCGGTGACAGAGAGAGAGTAGTAGGTGAATATGACAAACACCGCAAGAGCGAAGCCAACCTACATGGGAGGAATGGCAGGGGGGAGAGGGAAGCAGGGGAGGACAGTGACCTGGGCGAACAGCACACCAGTGACGGAGAGAGAGCAGTAGGCGAATATGAAAAAGACTGCCAGAGCGAAGCCAAGCTGCATGGGAGGGGTGATTGGGGTTGAAAGGGGAAGCACGGGAGGATAATGAACAGGGCGAGCATGCCAGTGAGGGAAAGAGAGAGAGCAGTAGGTGAAGATGAGAAGGACAGCGAGGGCGCAGCCAAGCTGCATGGAAGGGGTGATTGGGGTTGAAAGGGGAAGCACGGGAGGATAATGAACAGGGCGAGCATGCCGGTGAGGGAAAGAGAGAGAGCAGTAGGTGAAGATGAGAAGGACAGCGAGGGCGCAGCCAAGCTGCATGGAAGGGGTGATTGGGGTTGAAAGGGGAAGCACGGGAGGATAATGAACAGGGCGAGCATGCCGGTGAGGGAAAGAGAGAGAGCAGTAGGTGAAGATGAGAAGGACAGCGAGGGCGCAGCCAAGCTGCATGGAAGGGGTGATTGGGGAAGGAGGGAACGAGGGGGGATTTTATGGCACACTGCATATAGCATCAGGAAAGAAGGATGCCAGTGAGGGAGAGAGCAGTAAGCCAATCTGCACAGATGGGTGATTTGAAAAGGGACGAAACTTATGAGGTGCCTTGAAGGCCAGAGCGAAGCCAGCCTGCATGGGTGTGATAGATGCAGGAAGGAAGGAAGGAGCGAGAGAGGCAGGCAGCCACGTGATAAAAGTGTAGTTTTGAGACGTCTCAAAAGCACATCTCCACCTCACCTCCATGGGGTTTGATCCGTCGTCCTAGAACCATTCAAGTCAAGTTGATGGAAATAAAGCCTCCGCAGCCCACCTGTCCGCTACTGACAGCAGCGCGCATCTCTACCTCGCCATTAAACTACTTAGAAATTATGGGGCACTGCGCATAGCACCAGGCTAGTAAAACACGCCCTCATGGTTTAAGGTTTGGGGCTCCCTACTTCATACTTTCTCACCTGCCGCTTTCTGATCTGCAGCTGGGCGGCGAAGAGAGCTCCAAGGAAGGCAAAGAGGAAGGTGGCACATGGCAGAGCCACCCGTTGGTGAATCTTCACCTGCAGGTGGGTGGGCATGGGGCAGGGTAAATTGCTCTTGAAAAATGCAGAGAGGGTTAAGGAGGGGAAGAGGAAGGTGGTGCATGGCAGGGAGACCCGCTGATGAATCTCCACCTGTAGTTGAGCACAGCGCGGGGTAAATTGCTCTTGAATTTATAAAATACTACTGGCTTAGGAGACAGGAAAACCATAACATATCCTTGACAAGGGCTGCAGGAGAGCAGCACTCTCCTGCAGCCCTTGTCATCGCACCAATCACAGAGGACACCCACCAACCGCACTCACCAGTATTCTCGTGGCCTCCCACTCATTGCAGCACCGGCCATACAGCTGCTGGAGTCGCACCACCTGCAGCAGAGGCATGTCGTCCCAACTGCACTCATCTACAGCCCCTGCAGCTGCACAACTCACACACCACACCCACCAACCCGACTTACCAGTATTCGTGTGGCCTCCCGGTCATTACAACACCTTCGGTACAGCTGCTGCAACTGCACCACCTGCCGCAGCGGCATGTCGTCCAAACTGCGACTGCCGTCCGCCTCTGCCAGGTCTAGCGGTCCGCGATCAAGGGAAAATTCCCCTGCGAAAAGAGATGCAATCAGAACGTTTGAGTGCGAGCAAATGGGCAGAGCGAACCGTTAGTTGGTGCCCATAAAGGAGAATGGGTTAGGTGGTGGCACCTGCAAGCACTCATCAGTTAGGGACTGCACCTGCATGGGATTGGCTGATGGCACGGCACTGTAGGGACTGATACAATGACACACAGACCGTGTTTTGAGTCGACTTAAATCACTGGTGGCATGGTACTGTAGGGACTGATGAAACGAGAGACAGACCTAATCTGAACCACGCGGGTGGAGGGAGACTCACGGTGCTCTGTGAACGGCCGTGCTGCCGCGAGCACCCACGATGGCCTGTGCGGCTGCATGCTGCTGCTGGAACCACCCATTTCATTGCACTCATGCCGCTGCCGCTGCTGTTGCTGCTGGTGTTGGCGCTCAGCTGCTGCTGCTGCTTGCAAGCTTTGTGTTCCTTGCACCACACCTGTTGCTTGAGCAGAGCCCGTTGCTGCTGTCACAGGCCCCTCAGCTGCTGTGTCCTGCTCTCTCCCAACCGCTCCTCGCTGCTGCTGCTGCTGCTGCTGCTGCTGCTGCTGCTGCTGCTGCTGCCGCCTTGCCTCTGGCCTACTGCCCGTTGTTCTCTCCCAAGGCTGATACAGTCTACCTCTGCCCTTGCTGCCATGCCTCCCACCATGCGCCCTTCCCACACCACCCCTGCCTCGCTGCAGCCTCCTACTCCCCTGCTGCTCCCCTCTACCGTCCCCACCCCTCCCCACATCCCCCCTCTCCGTATTCCGGGTCGCTGCTGCTTCTTGTGCACTCTGTTGTTGCTCAAGCAAACCCGCTTGCCCTTGAGCATTCGCGGACTCTTGAGCATTCGCGGACTCTTGAGCATTTGCCTGCCTTTGCACCTTCGCACGCTCACCAACGGGTGGCAGTGATGCTAGCGATGCTTCTTGTGTACTCTGTTGTTGCTCATGCGAATCCTCTCGCCCTTGAGAATCCGCATGCCCTTGAGAATTCACATGCCCTTGCATCCGCACATGCGTGGGTGTTAGTGATGCGAGTGGCACATGAACCTGCTCTCCAGTCAGTGCGTTGTGAACGGCAGATGAGGAAACAAGCACATGTTCTATACCATTGACAAAAGACCAGTGACCTGGCCGGTTAGTCAGTGCCTGTTCGTGCTTATAAGGACTATGGCTGGTCGTTGAGAGACCCAGATTGAAGTTTTTTTGAAGGAAGGAGAAGGGGAAGCGGGAGGGGGGGCGTGAGGAGGGGACCCAGGAGGCACTCTCGGCAGCGATGACCCGAACCACGCTGCCTGCATCTGCATGCGTGCTTGATGCTGCTGATGTTGCTGCTGATGTTGCTGATGATGTTGATGTTGATAATGCCAGCGATGGTGATGATGATGTCAATTGGGAGGGCACTGATGCTGACGGTACTGGAGATAGTGATGATGATGGCGGTGGTGGTATCAGTGCCTGTTGCGAGACGAGTGGTAGTGAGGCGGGTGGTCGCGAGGCAATAGAGGATGCGGATAACGGTGACTGCAACGAATGTGATTGTAACGAGGAGGAGGATGGCATGTGCTCAGTGTTGGTATTGGAGTTGGTGCGGGCTCCGCTCTGATCCACGAGTGTGACTTGCTGCATCTCCCCACGCTCACATCGCCTGCTGTAGAAGAGAGAGCGTAGATCCCCGCTCTTGCTGCCATGTCAACCAGAGTTCCACAACGGAAAAGAGGCACATAACTGGCGTATATTGGAGTGACTTTTGAGAATTCTCAAAAGTCACTCCAAAGAGGCACATAACAAATTAACTTTCTGCATCTCCCCACGCTCACATCGCCTGGCGTAGAAGAGAGAGCATAAATCCCCAGCCAGGGCAACCAGGGGGGCACAACGGAAAGAAAGAACTTGAGAAGCCATGGAAGTTGGAAGCACTTAAAAGGGGGATGGCCAAGAAGGGCAAGCAGGAAGGGAGTGCAAGGGGCACATAAAGCATGTGTGATACAGCAGCGATTCGTACTTGGAATGGCGCAGGTTTGAATCTGGCGCAGGTTTAAATCTTACTACACGAATTTCCTTTTGAGTCGACTCAAAGCACGGCTTCTCTTGCCTCCAAAGTCAAGCCGGCTCTTCTCTCCCATCCTATCATCTCACCTGAAGCTGGGGAAGACGATGGGATGGCGCATGTTTGCCTTGTGCTGCTGTTGACGCCCTGAAACCTGCACACGCGCATTGGTGATGGTAGCCTCACATGCCCATGGCATAGCTCGTATCAAAATCGAATAATGAAGTGCCTAAAAACAAACGCATTCGCCACCGACCCTAATACGGAGAGCTGGTTTGCCCTTTGCATGTACGCTTCAAAGTAGATGTGCGCCTCAAAAGTCGCTGGACAACAGGGGCAACAGGGACTGGACAGGGGCAAACAGGTAGCACAGAGGCTTTAGGTGCTACGGGCATTGCACAACTAGTTTTGAGACGTCTCAAAACTGTTTTGAGACATCTCAAAACTAGCACAACAGGCGGCAGCTGCTACAGGTTCTGGAAAGGGTCAACATACGGAGAGCAGCTGGTGCAGGTGGTGGGGTGAGCGAGCAGAGCGCATGGCCCTGACCATGCGAGATGCACGGTAGTTGGTGAAGGGAGCGAGGAGCTGCAAGGGTGATGAGGGGTGATGAGAGGTCATGACGAGTGAGAAGTGGTGTGGAGGGGTGAAAAGGAGCAAAGGATTTGTGAGATGTGTTGTGGAGCAGAGCGCACTGCCCTGACCATGCGAGATGCCCGGTGGTTGGTGAAGGGAGCGAGGAGCTGCAGGGGTGATGAGGAGCGATGGGATGATGAGGAGTGAGGAGTGGTGAGGAGGGGTAAAAAGGAGCAGAAGAGTTTGTCAGGTGCATTGTGAGCAGAGCGCACCGCCCTGACCATGAGAGAGGCGCGGTAGTTGGTGAGGGAGCAGGAAGCTGCAAGGGTGATGAGGGGTGATGAGGGGTGATGAGGTTTTGAGGAGGGGTGACAAGCGGCGAAAGGGTTCATCAGATGTATTGTGCAGCAGTGCAGCACAGGCAGCCTGGCTATGTGTGAGGAGGTGGAGGAAAGGGAGGAGAATGGTGGTGGGCAGGTGATGAGGGGTGGGAGGAAAATAGTGGAAGAGGGACATCCAACGCTCAAACGTATCAATGAGGTGTGAGGGGTAATGTCTTTACTTCTGAGCTGAGACGCTACGATGTCTACCAGATGGTGGTGGGTGAAGTGAAGTGAAGGAGGTCAGCAGGTAAGGGACGGGACGGGTGCATGCATGGCGGGAGAAGCGGGCATGCAGTGCTACATACATACCTCAGCCCAGGCGTAGTGCAGCAGAGTGCAGGCGAGGAAGAGATGAGCCGCGACGGTGAGGAAGCGGGTCATGCGTATGGCCGATGCGCGGATGGCTGTTGGCGTGGGGTGACAGTTAAGGGAGGGAGGGGTGATAGGGGCAGGAAGGAAGGCAGGGGGTAAGCAACGACCGTGAGGAAGCGGGTCATGGTATACCCGATGCGCGGATGGCTGTGGGTGGGAAGAGTGGGTGGGAGAGAAGGAGGAAAAAGGGAAAGGGCAGACGGTTGGGATTGAGCCGCGAGTATGTGAACGGTTCATCGGAATGACAGGCGTCTCTTGGGAATACTGAAACATTGTATGTAAACAAGCGGGGTCTTGGTTATGGCCGATGTTTGGATGGCTGCATGCATGGCAGCAGTGTGTGGAGAGGGCGAAAGTTCGTAAGGGGGAATGAGCAGTATGGAAGGCAGGAGGTAAGAAGAGACAGTGCGGAGAGAGGAGGAGGGTGACATGCAATGCAAACGGATGGTGTTGAGGTCATCGCAAGTTGCATGAACATTGCGTCTCAACTTTCAGACGTCTCGAAAATGCATGAACATGTTTTTTGAGAATTCTCAAAAAGCAGACTCAGAAATGCATGAACATTGCGTGGGTGGAAGAGGCAAGGCGAGGGTTGTATGTACCTACCTCATGAACGCATGTCATCGTACAATGAGCATGCGTCCTGTAATGAGCATGCGTCCTGTAATGAGCATGCGTCCTGTAATGAGCATGCGTCCTACAATGCTCATTGTAGGACAACATGCGTGCGTGCTAGATGCATTCATGTCATTGCAAGGCATGCACGGTGGGTGGGCACAGGGGTTGTATGTACCCCCTTGTGTTGTATAATGTACCCACAACCTCATTTTGGGAGGACTTGTGTGTGAGGTGAGGAAGAACAGTTGCACGCCAAGAGTCGGGAGCAGTGACACAATTGCACAGGCGACATCGCAAGGCATGAGTGGAGTTGGTTGGCAGGAGAAGGGGGAGAGATGTACTCACAAGCACACTGTTGGACGACGTGCGCGCTATACTCAACCCTCGCCTTGCATCTTCCACCCACGCAATGTTCATGCATTTTTTAGTCAACAGGAGAGATGTACTCCCAAGCACATTGTCGGACGACATGCTAGCTATCGACGGCATTTCAGGTACCAAGGCAAGGCGGAGGACGGGATTTATGGTTGCAAGGTGTATGCAATCTTGCCATTCCAAGGGGCGTGACGGGAACAGGGTGGGGGGCGGAAAGAAAAGGCATGCTTGGGAGAGGGGGTTGTACCCACGACCTCATTGTCGGACGACATGCGTGCCAGGCAGAGCAGCGGCGCCAAGAGAAGGGGGAGTGAGTGAGTGGGGTGCCATTGCAAGGCGTGAGTGGCGTGGGGGGAAGAAGGGCGAGCGGGTTGTACCCACGACCTCATTGTCGGACGACATGCGTGCCAGGCAGAGCAGCGGCGCCAGGAGAGATGCCATGGGGAGAGTCAACCCCACGTAGAACTGCCATGAGAAAGGGAGGGGACGGGGGGATGAGGGGATGTTCTTTGAGTCGACTCAGAAGTCAGCTCGATCGAGGCAGCGCAGAGAAGGCGTGAGGAGAGATGCCATTGGGAGAGTCAACCCCACGTAGTACTGCGGTGAGAAAGGGGGGGTGGAGGGTGGGAAGGGAGGGGGGGCGATAGAAAATGTTTGTGTTCTCAGATTTTATGCCAGCACAGCCAGGAGCGATGCCATGGGGAGAGTCAACAGTCAACCCCACGTAGAAATGCGGAGGGATGGGAAGATGGGGGGATGGGGGGATGGGGGGATCGGGGAGCAGGGAGGGGGGAGTGGGAGTGGGAGTGGGAGTGGGAGCTTTGGGTGATGGCTTGTATTGAATCAGTTCTGGATTGTATTCAACGAATTAACATGTAAGCAAACTATATGCAAAGTAAGCAATGAAGAAATCAAAGCAGAAGCTAATGCAGATTAGTCAAATAGGATCACAAGGGCGCTTACAGGGGTTTCAGACATGTCTCAGTGAGCTGCGTGCATGCAGTAGGCTTAAAGCAAAGGAAAAACAGCAGTAAAATTCCGCTTTTGTGTAAAACTAAGTGCTCAGAACGATCTCAGAACCCAATTTCTTTGCAGTAGAGTAAAACAGGGACAAACATGTTTCGGCTGAGAGGGAAGGACCCTATCGAACCTTCATCAGTGCCAACAATGGGATCACAAGGGCGCTTACAGGGGTGCGCGGGCGCTTACAGGGGTGCGCAGCAGCACGATCTGCAGTGTGTAGAAGGCTTTGTGGACGACAGACGGCAGGGCGGCGGACTGGAAAACAGTCATTGCCTCGGGAGCGATCGCTGTGAGGAGAGGCGGGAGAGAGGGGAGGAACGGGGGAAGGCAGACAGGAGAGCAGCACGATCTGCAGTGTGTGGAAGGCTTTGTGGACGACAGACGGCAGGGCGGTGGACTGGAAAACAGTCATTGCCTCGGGAGCGATCGCTGTGAGGAGAGGCGGGAGAGAGGGGAGGAACGGGGGAAGGCAGACAGGAGAGCAGCACGATCTGCAGTGTGTAGAAGGCTTTGTGGACGACAGACGGCAGGGCGGCGGACTGGAAAACAGTCATTGCCTCGGGAGCGATCGCTGTGAGGAGAGGCGGGAGAGAGGGGAGGAACGGGGGAAGGCAGACAGGAGAGCAGCACGATCTGCAGTGTGTAGAAGGCTTTGTGGACGACAGACGGCAGGGCGGCGGACTGGAAAACAGTCATTGCCTCGGGAGCGATCGCTGTGAGGAGAGGCGGGAGAGAGGGGAGGAACGGGGGAAGGCAGACAGGAGAGCAGCACGATCTGCAGTGTGTGGAAGGCTTTGTGGACGACAGACGGCAGGGCGGCGGACTGGAAAACAGTCATTGCCTCGGGAGCGATCGCTGTGAGGAGAGGCGGGAGAGAGGGGAGGAACGGGGGAAGGCAGACAGGAGAGCAGCACGATCTGCAGTGTGTGGAAGGTCTTGTGGACCACTGATGGCAGGGCAGCGGACTGAAACACTGCCACTGGCTCGGGGGCGGTCACTGGGAAGGGAAGGAGGTGGGGAAGCGGGGAGGAGCGGGGGAAGGCAGGCATGGGAGCAGCACGATCTGCAGTGTGTGGAAGGCCTTGTGGATGATGGATGGCAGGGCTGAGGACTGGAAAACTGTCATTGCCTCGGGGGCGGTTGCTGGGAGGGGGAGGCGAGGGAGAGGGGAGGAGCGGGGGAAGGCAGGCATGGGAGCAGTGCGTGGAAGGCCTTGTGGAGCACAGATGGCAGGGCAGCGGACTGAAACACAGCCATTGCCTCGTGGGCAGTCGGTGGGAGGGCAGGCGCGGGGAAGGAGAATGTACGGGAGGATGGGGGGGGGGGAAGAAGGGATGGGGATGCTGGCTGGAAGGGCCTTGTGGATTATAGACGAGAGGGTAGAGGACTGGACTGAAACACAGCGGCCATTGCCTCATTTGCAGCCAACTTCTCCCCATGCTTCTGCCCACCTATGGAGAGTGCCAGGAGAGTGAACGCGGACAAACCCAGCAGCAGAGGCTGCAGCAGCTCCAGCAGCAAGTATCGATCCAGCACCTTCAAGCCCTCCCACCACTGCTGCACCCATACAGTCAATCTCCTTACAGGCACGCTCGCCATAATCTCACCCTGCAGAACCATCGCCTCGTCCTGTAACAACCGCCCTTTTCGCACAAGGTTTCGCACAGCAGGCTTTCTGAGAAGCTGGCTTCGCAATTGCCTCTGTTTCCTGGCTAAATTCGCAAGGTTCTGCTGCTGCTTATCAACGGCCAGAATTTGAAGCCTCGCAGTGGCGACCATTAGGGTTTGCATCTTCGGTCCAACGGCTATGCGACTTCGAATCCTCCAAGGGACTTTCTCGGGTAAAATGTTTGGACGGCCTAGATTCGCCGATTCCTGGTGACCAGACGCACTCCATTGCATCTTGGCCATAGGATTATTCGTCATGTCCGGCGTCACAGCTTCTGAGTCTGGAAGATGGCCGTCGTCTGTGCTTTCCGTATGTGCAGTACTAGCTCTCTCACTGCTGTCGTCGCCTTTCCCCCGTTTCTCTCCCCCCCCCATCGCTCGGCAATACACATGCTGCCGCTGTGCGCGTAGGGAAAGAGTAATTATTGGTGATCGAAAAATAGTTATCGCTGGTGAGTCTGTAAAGCTTGTTGTCGATAAAATAGAAAATGGCATTCTGACGGTGAACGGTGACGATGCCGCCGTTTACGGCGCGTTGATAGATGTTCGGCAAATAACCTCACCTCCACTAGGCTCAAAAAAATGCGAGATACCTGCAACCAACCAGCTAAAAGGACCGACCAACTGTGTAAGCAAAAGGTTTCCCGCCAACCGGATTCGAACCAGTGACCTAAGGATTGCTCAACTACAGTCCTACTTTATTTACAAAGTTCCTAGGTACATGGGCTCATATATGTACACTATGTACAAGAAGTTCTAGAGCAGTGGAAAAGAAAAGCAAGTGTAAAGATGTGAAGAACAGGTGAGAGATGACAAAGTGATTGAGTGATATGAGAGCATAACGATGTGCAAAAGAGAACAGAACTGGTTACAAAACAGTGGGAAAAAGGACACACTGAAGAAAAACAGAACAGAACTTGAAACCACAAAACAGAACAGAACAGAACCTACGGTAATGACACAAACGAGTGACTCACAAACTGAAACTGACCCACATGACCCACAAAACCAGCAGTGTAACCCTACAGTAAAGCATCTACAAAGGTTAACCCCCCTTAAATGCGGGGGTTGAACAAATATGCAAGGTCAGGAGCGCCATCACTGAAAGCAGGAAGATCTGAAAATGATGGGTCTTCGCTTGACATCTCCTCCGAGATCGATGGGAAGGCCACCTCTACCCTGTGGCGGATTGCCCTGGCCTGCGCCCGTTGCAAAGCCATAGAGACTCGAAGCATGTAGGAACTCTCAAAGGCGGTTGTAAGAACACTGTCTGCTGCACCGTGATCAAGATGCCGTGCTGCTGCCCTGCGACTGCAGTCCCGTAGAAACGCTTTGAAGCTGCTGCCCAAACACCCGAAGGTCTCAAGTGCAAGTGGAAGAAACTTGACTGCTGGCCGTGCGCGTAAAGCTGCTGCGTAGTGGGATCTTTTCTCTGCTTCGCGCTGTTTTGCAGCTAGGCCGACTGTATGAGTAACTGTTAGGGGAGCGGAGGGCAGCTGCGGATCGGTTACTGACACATCCAACTACAGTCCTCCGCTCTACCAACTGAGCTATAGCAGGACGACAGCAGTCTGTAAAAAGTTTTTAATAAATTAAATGTAACAAATGTCCGAACGATGCCCCTCATTTACACCTCGCTCCCGAATTTCCTGAGCGTCCGAGGCGACTCATGACTGAGTGTGCCGAGGAACACTTGTTCGAACCCAACGAAAGCGATGGTATTTCAACTTCGTGACGAGAAACTGAGTCTGCAATACCCATCCTTCTGATTGAACCTTCATATTTTACTCCTGCCCGGCAGCCTGGTGCTCGAAACAGCATCCCTCATTTCTGGAGCTCTCTTCCCTTCCCGCCGGCTCTTCTATTTCGTAATCAGTGTGTCCATGTGATGATGGTCTTCTGTCACAAATTGCGTAGAGCACAATGATATGGAACTCTCGAACTCATACATAGCTCGTTGGACCCTGCATCCCAAAATGTGTGGGGTCGGGGTTTAGGGTTTGCGAGAGAGTAACTCTCCAGAACTTACCCGCAGGTGGCATTTCGGGGTTCGCGGCTCGGGACTCAGTGGGCTGCATCATCTACGAAGTTTCGACCAGATCCTCGCAAGCGATTTTATTGGTCGAGCCCTTTCCACCAGATCCGCGAAACTTCCTTCAAACCCTTTGATCGATTTCTATTGGACATTCGATTCGAACCTACTGGTCGGTAAGTTTAGGTTTTCGAAATACTCCTTCCAAGAAGCAGCGGGTTTGCGAAGGTTTGGCACAAATCCAGATACGTGACCCGCACAAGAGCATTTCCGTTCCAGTGTACAGTGATGATTGTTATTGAAATATCTTGTTGTTATGTGCATCAAATTTGTACACAGCTTATATTGACACCAAAGTATTCAATTGGGTTGATTTGCATTCGTAATTAAAGCAGATAAACACTCTGCATAGTGGATTTTAATTCACTACATAATTATTTCTGTTACTGATATCTAGTTGCATTGTTAGGGAATGGTGAAAACAAGGTGGAAACAACCGGGGTAAGGGGGCCATGGCTTTGGACAGTGAGTTGTAATAAATGCGACTACTTTTCCAAATAAATATTACTGCACTATAGTAGCTGGTATAGAGTATCAGAAGCTACCGCAGCATCCAGTGAAGCATTTTTATCACCACGCATACGGGTTCAATAGTTTCAGCGTGGTCCTCTTAAAGAGAGGAACTATGTGCTCGGCCCTCAAGATGGCATCAATGTGCACGACGCGATAGGCATCTGCCCTACGAAGGCAAGCCAATTTTACGAAGGCTGTGTCATCGTCCTCTCCTCTCACGTCCAATAGCTTCACGTACGCCAGTGGCTGTTTCTCTATCTCCCGTCCAGTTCTGGTTTGGACATGGAAAAGCATGAGGAGCTGGGCATAAACAACATCTGACCCCCCTTGAGTATGGTTACTGACCAGTCTTCCGTCCAGAGCTACATAGGAAAACCATGGATTTCAAATCATTCCCTGGGAGTGCAACTGCAGAATGCACCTGCATGTGACCAGAAAGTTTGGGATGGCGAATGCAAAAGGTTCGGGAAATACAGACTTGAACGCCGGCAATATAAAAGTGGCAGAGTTTGGAATAAGACTGTGCGTAATGGTGGTCGTAGTAGGTTAGGTGTTTTTCTTACATGGACAATGTCATTTCGAATGCCGTGTTCAGCGAGGGCTATTGTGATATCGTTCATGGCGCTGCCGTGTTGCTCCAACAGCCCTTGCCAGAGCTTCTCCGCTTTTCGACCATCAACAACATGTGGAAGTGTCATGGCTGTGCTTGTCGCCGTGAGAACAGGGTTTTTGTTCCTTTCAGCCTGGAGGTTGAAAAAAAGGGATAGGGGAAGTTGCACATGTATGGCATGATGTCTGTTTGTGAACGTGGCAAGGCATGCCTTGCTGGCCTTACAACCAGCCGTGCATGCAATGATGCATGTGTGTGAAGTGAATGGCAAGGCATGCCTTGCTGGCCTTACAACCAGCCATGCATGCAATGATGCATGTATGTGAAGTGAGTGGCAAGGCATGCCTTGCTGGCCTTACAACCAGCCATGCATGCAATGATGCATGTTTGTGAAATGAATGGCA